CTGAAAATAGATTTCCGAAATCAAAATAAAATGAAATTTTTCACAATTTAATTACTGATCACGGTTTTTATAAATCGTTGAGAAATGATATCAACAATTCTTTCCTTCTATCAAAAAAATCAAAATACCGTTGTTGCCGGAAACTTAAAATAATCAATTATAACGAAACGGCGTAGAAAAAAATTTCATATTTTTTTATTCATAAATCAATGAACTTGAATGAATAAAATTTTAAAATGATTGAAAAACAAAATTTGTCTGAATCAATTTGGATTGAATCACAAAAAAATATCCTTTATTTTTAATATTCTTTTTCAACATGTGTATATTTAGAAAAAAAAAGATCCAAGGAAACATTTTGGGTAGAAATAGACGTCTTATTATAAAAAAAAATTTGTTTATTTTTATTCGATAAGAATTACAGATGTTTTTTTTTGTTGTAATTAGATTTTAAAAGTTATATAAATTTTTAATCAGCATTTTTTTAAACAAAAATAAAAGAATTTAAAGTTTTAACAAACATAAAGAGATTAAGGTAAATACATCATTGAAGTTTATGTTTCAATTTATTCAAATTAACAAACGTTAAAAATTGAATATTGAAATTCAAGGCGTTGTCATTTGTCATTGAAAATTCGTCGTACTTTTACGCACTAAACAACACATACAAAATTTTATCATTATTTTCATTGTTGTTTTGTTTTGTTTTTTTTCTTACCAGAAATTTCTGAATCAATTTCCAACAAAATGGATCAACAAATATTGGAAACATTTTTAAAACAATCAACAACCAAACCAATTTATAAACAATATTTACCATTTATGAAATTAGCTCGTGATAGTTTTGCACAGAATCCAATATTAACATATTGGACATTATGTTATGTTGTTGAAGCTGCATTAAAAAATCAAACAAAACCAACGGATGATTTTCGTAAATTTTTATTGGAAATTATGTCCTGTTTGGAAAAAGAAAAAAAATCACGTATTGGTGATAATTTATTCT